GAACTCCTTGAGAGGGCATTGAAGTTGTTGCAGGTAAGCTTTTAAAAGTGTGATCGTGAAGCCTAAGCATGCATTTGCCTTATGAGTTGCATAATGCACGCTGCAAGAACCATTCTTCAAATACTTTTTTATATTTTCATGGGCTGGCACGCACTTAACCTATTGCTGATTACATATGTTTGGATTTAAACTAGTTGTGAACAGTCTGTTTGAATAGCTCACATTTGTGCCCATTCATGTTTGTAAATGCGTATGGCAGGAATTCAGAGTTCTTTGCTCTTTATTTGCCACTGTTGGGTCATTTTACTTTGTGCAATTAGTTAGATTTTTGTTTCTTTGGTTCTGTAAGAAATGTGCTTAGCTAGATAGAGAAATGGCGCCTGCCAGACATTGTCAATATTGTGTGAAACTGCCACTAGGCTTTTCCCTCATACTATTTTAGCTCTCAATACTAGGAAGACTTAAGCTGATTTCTAGCAGGTTGCTACTTCTCAGTTTTTAACTTTCCTTACTTTCAGATTGGATGTGAATCTTCTTATTTGGAAACCAGAGCAGTTATTAGTATTAATTATCCCTTATTCTCAATTATTTTTCATCTTGTCTATTCAAGTTTTTGTAAATGTACACTTCCAGGAAGAAGGAGCAAGTAGTCTTGCACAAGATTTGCAAGCACAGATTGATGAGACGTTGGAAGAAATAAGCCCGCGATATGTTCTTGAACTCCTGGCTTTACCCCTTGGTGAGGACTTTTGCACAAAAAGGGCGGAGGGTCTACAAGGTGTGCGCAATATTTTATGGGCTGTTGGAGGAGGAGGTGCTGCTGCCATTTCTGGGGGGTTTACTCGTGAAGGTTTTATGAATGAGGCGTTCCTGCGTATGACAGCAGCAGAACAGGTGATCAATTGCATTTTCTTGTTTACAAGGAAAATGTAGCTCTAAGTTTTTCTGGCTGTGATATTTTACTTTGTTTTTTTTTTTTTTGGGGAGTAATACTTAACTTTTACTTTGTAAATAATTTTTTTTCTTGATTTTTTGTAAGGTTGATCTATTTGTTGCCACACCAAATAATATTGCACCAGAAAATTTTGAAGTCTATGGAGTGGCACTTGCACTTGTTGCTCTGGCTTTTGTGGGTAAGAAACCTCATTTGATCCAGGATGCTAACAACCTTTTTCAGCAACTTCAACAGACCAAGGTTACTGCTCTTGCAAATTCCATGACCGTCTATACTGTTAGGGAGACCCACGAAATAGACTTTGCATTGGAAAGGGGTCTCTGTGCACTTCTTGTAGGAGAAATTGATGAATGTCGCATGTGGTTAGGATTGGATTCTGAGAGCTCTCCTTATAGAGATCCATCCATAGTTAACTTTGTCCTTGAACACTCCAAAGATGACCAGGAAAATGATGTTCTTCCTGGGCTTTGTAAACTGTTGGAAACATGGCTGATGGAGGTGGTATTTCCCAGGTTTAGGGAGACCCAGCATATAAAATTCAAGCTAGGAGACTATTATGATGATTCAACGGTCTTGAGGTATTTAGAGAGGTTGGAGGGACGTGGTCGTTCACCATTGGCTGCTGCAGCAGCCATAGCAAAACTGGGGGCTGAAGCTACTGCTGTGCTTGATAGTGTAAAGTTTAGTGCAATTCAAGCACTGCAGAAGGTGTTCCCTCTTGGTCCAAGTGACAGGAGTGTGAAAACTGATGAGGAATTCGAGATAAAAAATTCTGAAGTTGCCGGAGAAAGTGAGGAGCCTACAAGACCTAACAATTGGGATGATTCCTCCAATACTGGAGTATTACCCGATAGACAAGAATATGATGAACTACATGAACAGGAGCAGATAACTGAGGAAATAAAAGAGACAATCGTGAAGATTATGTGTGCTGGAGTAGCTGTTGGTTTGCTTGCTCTGTTTGGGTTGAAGTTCATTCCAAGTAGACATGGCATGTCAACTCTGCGCAAAGATGCTGGTTCAGCTATTGAATCTGACGTCATCAATGTGGGTATGACCTACAGATTATGTCAGTCAAGAAATTATTGATTGCTGTATCTTGGCATCTTCTTTCATATATGTACATGAAATTTAATGAGCAAATTAAAAAAGCATGAAGGTTTGCGATTAGAAATTGACACACCAAAACATTATTCGTGGGACAACACTCCTGTAATAAGGCTGGTTACAGCCACAGAAATATACCACATTAGCTGTTTTGCTGTACCGCTGGACAATTTCACTGAGAAAGTATATCAAATCCATGCAAAGACTATACGCTTCTTTGCAAAGACTATACGCTTCTTTGGGTGGTGCCATTACTTCCCTTCTATATTGAATTCTTTGCGGTTGGATTTGTAAATATCCAGGATGTATTTTGAAGTTGTTTTACAGTTAATAAATGAGAGCGTATGCATCAGTTTCTAATGTGAGTCCGTCCTTCTCTCTTGCTTTCATTTCTTCGTTCTCTTGATTGTTGCCTAAATTGCAGGGGCATCAGTAGATGAAAAGGACGTAAAAATACCTAGGATGGATGCCAGGTTGGCTGAAAATCTAGTTCGCAAGTGGCAAAATATCAAGTCCGAAGCTCTTGGACCTGATCATTGTCTTGAAAAATTGTCAGAGGTAAGAATCAACTGAGTAAATTTGTGATTTGATTGTCAAAGTCTTGGCTTCCTCCTACTGTTTCCTAGCTTTTGGTTTCGTTTTTATTTCACTCCCCCGTGGGGGTTCTAATCTGACCTTTATTTCTATAAGTACATGGATCTGGTAGCAATGAAATATATTAATCGTGCATTGTCTGAAATGAAGCCAATCAGAATGCCTGGATATTTGTGGCACTCAATATCATTTAGAAACTTGGCATAAATTGTGACACAGCCACACATGCCTGGTTCTCTCTCTCTGTCTCACACATACACATGCATCCCCACACCCACACCCACACACATGACACACCCACAACAACATATATATCTATATATATATATATATCTATTCTGATCAAAGTATCGTGTATTACTAGTTTATCTGCTAGATTTTTCTAAGCTCTCTTTCTGGAGAGTCATTGCAGTAAACGAGTAGGTGCAACAGGTGATTAACTCGATTGTTTGGTCTGTTGTCAATAGCCTTAGTAAAAGTTCAAGGTAGAGTCCAAATACAAACATTGAGCTGGAGAATTTCTTCGATTGCTTATTCATTATGGGTTGGCTTTTATAGCTGGGCTTGTTGTAGGATGAAGATCCTGGTTTCAACTGCACTATTTTTATTCTCCTGAGACTAAAAATAAGAATGTTAACTTGCCTCCAGGTTCTGGATGGGCAAATGCTGAAAATTTGGACAGACCGTGGAGCAGAGATTGCGCAACACGGTTGGTTTTGGCAACACATGCTATTGAACCTTAACATTGACAGTGTAACAGTTTCTGTTGATGGTCAGCGTGCAATTGTGGAAGCCACTCTTGAGGAGTCAGCTCAGCTCACTGATGTGGCCCATCCAGAACACAATGATTCTTATAATTCTATTTACACAACTAGGTATGAAATGTCATGTACAAAATCAGGCTGGAAAATCACAGAAGGAGCTGTCCTAAAAGCATGATTTGGAATCTGTATAGTGATGAATTCTTTAATGTAAATGTTGCTGAACTCATGGAGTTGAATTAGTTCTCTGTTTTTGGTGGACTGAGTATTAAAGTTTTTCCACTATTGTTGATTCTTTTGCTGGCTCAACACAAATATTCGGTAATAAGCATAGAACGAATGTTGCTTATAACTCTTTGTATTTGGAAACTGCTGACATGTTGGCTTTTGGCTGAGCTGTAGTAGAAAGAATCTCCCTGAATGATGTGGACTTTATCTTAATTGGTTAAACCTACCGAAGTTTATTCTGAAGTGATCACTGTTTCACGGTAGGATGAAGTAAACAGGGAGAAGTAATTCTGGTTTCGGAATGGAATCTAAGATTGCCAAAATCGAGCAGTGTGAACAAAATGCCGTTGGACTGTAGCACTTTGCCAGACTGCATAGCAGACAATGTTTGCTTCCATTGCTTGAGATATGCAAAAAAAATTGCTCCAGATGTAGAATTGTGAAAAATTTCAAGATGTTGATCAGCAATTTAGCAGTTGTTTCATACTGTATTTGTCTCAACGCATGTGCTATAGTCGTCTTATGAATTTCTTGAATCTTTATGGGCCGAACCACTTGAGGGCTTCCTCCTGTGGTGACACGCAACGAAACCGTGTTGCCACCTTGGTGACCAATATTGCCTCTCCCTGCTTCTTATTTGACCTCCCGTACATCGTTCACGTTTGTACATCTTTGGTTGTGGACTAAAATGTTCAATCAGTATATCGCTCTCATTATGAACTCGATCATGTGTATTGAAGTTCAACGCTGAGTATATTCTACCGTTGTAGAATATATGATTGTTGGCTTGCACAATTCTTAGTTTATCACCAAACCAAGGCTGTGAAATCACCGTTGAAAGGTTACGACTGGTGGCTCGTAATCAGATAGTACTTTGTTAACTACGCAGTGCATAATCAGTGGCTGCAGCATATTTCTGTTTCTTGCATCTCTGGATTGCCAAGTGGCTGCTGGTTAGACGTAAATGATGATCTCTTCTGTTTGTCTATTGGTACGTTCAGCTGAAGGTCGACAAGAAGAAGGAAGATACATACATTTTGCGAATGTGACAACATTAATCAAAACCAACCAAAACCAAATGGCACGGGGGCAGCTGTACAACTACCAGTGGACCAAACAAACAGGATTAAATACAAATGCATTGGCACGAGAGATTATGACTATCCACCAATAATTCAAGTGGCTGGCTCCACCATACCAAATCATCGCCAAATGTCTCTAAATGGTGTGTTGTTATGGGTACATTGATGAGACAAGTTATTAAAAAATTGAACTTAAGGGTATTGAAAAGCTTCATCTTTCTATCCATCATTATGATAGTTTAGTCATAACCCATTGAACCTTATCCTTGAATCATAATTATGGTTAAATTCTTGACCCCGTTACATAATTTTTGTAAAATACAGCTGACATGCACGTACAAAGACTGACTAATCCAATCATTTTCCTGCCGGCTACGTTGACAAACAAAGAGAAAAGGATAGAGGGGCAAGGAATCTAAAGCAGAGAAGAAGAAGAAGAAGAAGGGGAAGGACGATTACAGCATTGTTCTCCCTCTTCTCTTAATCATGGGTGCCCAGGTCTCTAAACAGGCGGAACGCAGGAAGAATGTCTCAACCGAGATGAAAGCTTTGGCTGATCTAAAGCAAAGCAGTGGAAGTGACTTTCCTGGTTCAGATTACCGTCCTGCAGATAGGAAAAACTGGATGTTAGGCCTTGACCCTGGGAAACTTGTCATAGAAAAGATTGTGTGGCCTGGAACTCATGACTCTGCTACTAATAAGATTGGAATTCCTTGCATCACCCGCCCATTTGCTCAATGCCAATCTCTTTCAATCTACCGTCAGCTCGTCAGAGGTGCCCGAGTCGTCGATATCCGAGTTCAGGAGGATCGACGGGTATGCCATGGGATCCTACTGACCTACAGCGTCGATGTTGTCATCAACGATGTTAAGAAGTTCCTCTCAGAAACCCAATCTGAGGTCATAGTCCTTGAAATTCGGACAGAATTCGGACACGATGATCCTCCTGAGTTTGACAAGTACTTGGAGGATCAGCTCGGGGAATATCTTATTCCCCAGGATGATTCAGTTTTTGGAAAGACTATTGCGGAATTATTGCCTAAGAGAGTAATTTGCGTGTGGAAGCCGAGGAAATCTCCACAGCCTCAGCATGGAAGTCCACTGTGGAGCGCTGGCTATTTGAAGGACAATTGGATTGACACTGATTTGCCATCTACAAAGTTTGACAGCAACATGAAGCATTTGAGCCAGCAGCCACCTGTGAATTCCAGGAAATTTTTTTACAGGGTTGAGAATACAGCAACGCCTCAAGCTGATAATCCAATTTTATGTGTGAAACCGGTCACCAATCGAATTCATGGGTATGCTAGACTGTTTATTATTGAGTGCCTTTCCAAGGGTTACGTCGATCGTTTGCAAATCTTCTCAACAGATTTTATAGACGAGGACTTTGTTGATGCATGTGTTGGGCTCACTCAGGCCAGGATTGAAGGAAAGCTCTGATATCCATCCCATTGGATTAAATGGCACTGTCAGGCCAATGGGCGGCAGCCAGGATTTCGTTCACTTTCTGCTTTCTTGTCTTCTCGTGAACAGCATGTGGAATAAATCCATTTGTTCGTTTGTAAGATGAAACCGTTCTTTCTTTTTTTTTTTGGTTCATTTGCTAGTTATGTTGTCAAACATCACGTGTGAAAAAAGGTGGGGATGTTATTTGTTCATTTAAAATGGGTATGTAAATTTGCACTTTTGAGGTTATCTTCCAATTTTCTGGGGAACTCTCTTTTGCCCAAGTCACCAATTCTGCTGCAACCCTGATAACTGCTTCTGAAACATTATTATGAGGACTAAGTTGATGGATCCATAAACGAAGTTTGGGTTTAACCAAACCAATTCCGGAAATTAGCGAGCATGAAACTTGACAAACCATTCCTGTGATCACTGTCTGATCTTTCGTGCTTTTCAGGTGGAGGTGTTGGATTAGTTAGCGAAGCCGAAGTGGAGCTCTCGGCCTCCAGAAGCCAACAACAGAGGTGAGAACTCGTCATCGCGATCCAGAACCAGAATGGACGCAATCGCATCACAAGCACTCCTAGTATTATTGCTGCTTGATTCTTGATTTTTTTCTATTTTCTATGTACTTATTTTTTATATTTTCATTACGTAAGTACATAGTATTATTGCAACCGTGAGGAACAGGGGACTAGGGGAGGGATCGAGTTTTTCTGTGAAAATCCTTGAAAAATTGCTATCCTGTTTACCACAATACATCATTTTTGCAGCTATGATGGCATGGATCAAGTTTTTGCTAGTCACGTGGCAACTGCATATTCAAATAATTGTTTTTTTACTGTAATTTGCTGCGGATGTCAGTTTATATATTCTAGGCTTGGTCGCTTATAAAATGCCAATTTATTTGAAGATTCTGAATAGCAATGACCATAGGAGAATGATTGAATTTGAATGAGACTTCAAATCAGTCTTCTCTTACATAATTTGGGTCCTGAGCAGAATTCCTATACATGTTAACAATATACAAAACAGTTAGGTTAGCTATGGAAAACTATATACCATTCTTCTTTTTCTTTATCTTTTATTGGATTTCTTCTTTCATCTCTTTGGATGAGGTACTGCACTGCCTCCAGCTACACCAGAGACGGCATGCTGTGTTTCCAACTGAAGGACCTAACATTCACCTGTGGGGTTGAGAAGCTGAGTCCAACAAACTCCTTTTGGACGTGGCTCAGCTCCACAATGCCAACCAATTTTGCAACCAGGGCAGCGCTTTCCTTGATGTGGTCCATGTCTTTTGTGTCTGTCCATAATCGTTGGCATAACTGAAGCCTTCTTCTCTTTGTTTTTAACCCAATACCCCACGTCTGGAATAGGGCCATTCTCTCCGTGTTTGAGAGCTTCTTAAGCATTAAGCTGCTCAGCATCTCTCTCTCGCGTTTCAGTGCCCTCGTGCTGTAGCCAAAGTAATAAATTATACGACTGATATAACTGTAAAACCAGGAATGAAGAAGTTGTCTTCCGCTAATATGAGTTTTTCAAGATGCTTGGGATCAACTCAGATGAAGATAACTAGAAAATTTTGGGAGTAGAGATAGAGCAAGCAGATAGATAAGGCCTTAATAAGTTACTCATCCCGCCAAGCTATAGTTAGTGTGGTAGTACAGGTTTGTTGTGTCTTCATCTCATATAACAGCTTCTTGGTGCAAAAAGCAGCCCATATTTGGCATGTCATAATGAGTTGGAAAGAAAAAGAAAGCAAGAATAGATCTATACCTCGAGGATTGACCATTTTTCACAGTATTAGTCTGCTGAGACGCCTTGAGAAAGGACAATCGGCGGAGTTCTACCTCCATGTATATAGAGTCAGATGGATCTCCTTTAAAGACCAGGAAAAAGTAGGTCCTGTGGACCAATGGTATGTCGCAAGCATCCCAGAGTTGAATAATCTCTGCTCTCTGCTTCTCGAATTGTATGGACCAATCTGAAGGGGATTTCTGAGAATCATGTACTCCACCCAAAACAACATTAGAATCTGTTTCAAACTTGTTAGAAGTTGGTTCAGCATCCAGGACCTAACAGATAAATCAATGAGCAGGTATAAACGCAAGTAGACCTACTGCTTCACAGTTTAAGGAAGATTGCTTGGTCATTTGAAGCATTAGAATAATTAATGACAAACACTTGTACAATAAGCCATGTTGGGGATGTTTTCATTTTGGAATTTTGTCCAATTTTGCGCAAGCATGATAACCAAAAGGTACAGTGTCAATCAATAGGTGATTAAGATGCATTCTTCACATTGGGTGACAATTAATAAATAGTAAGCATTAATTACTGAGTAAGGAAGGTGACGAATTAGGAGAGAGAGAACCTGCTCATTCACGAACTGATTCTTAGACTTGACCACCTCATCAGCAAGTCCCAATGCCTTCATACTTTCTTCCTTGGCATCTGTGGAGTCACTTTCACAATATTCCTCGGAATGCTCTCTGTGTAAATCTTTACCATCTGCAACTGATTCCAACTCGGAAAACTTCCCATCCTCGGATTGTTCTCTGCATAGATCTTTACCATCTGCAACTGATTCTGACTCGGAGAATTTCAGGTTGTTGTGTTCCAGACTTCTAATCGAGCCCTCCTCAACTTCAATGGATGGTGTTTCATGTTCTTTTTCCATCTTCGATCTGGGAGAAAATGGCATTGTTGTGAGGACTTCGCTACAACTCCTGCTCCTTGATGACTCAATGCTTCTCGAGTCGTTTAGTTCTGAGTCTGATGAAGAAGAATACTGTTCCACCGGATGGGAATGAATGGGAGAAATTGTAATTTCCTTAACCTCGTCAACTGTTGGCTTCAGAGTTCTGTTATCATGGTCTATGTTAACATTCACCAAACCCTGATTCTCCTTTTCTGGGGATGACACTGAGTCAAAGTTTATCTTTCTCATGTTAACATTCTCCAAACCCTGATCCTCCTTTTTTGGGGATGAGACTGAGTCAAAGTTTATCATTCTCATGTTAACATTCTCCAAACCCTGACTCTCATTTTCTGGGGATGACAGTGAGTCAAAGTTTATCTTTCTCATGTCAACATTCTCCAAACCCTGATTCTCCTTTTCTGGGGATGACACTGAGTCAAAGTTTATCTTTCTGATGCTTGTATCAATTTCAATGCATTGAACTTCCTTGCAATTGTCTTCATTGTTCAGGTCAATTCTTTCTGCAATTTTCTCCCAACCTTGTGTTGGATCTGGACCAAAGTACTTCTCTATAAACATTCTTGGGGAGGTATCATCAGAGAGAAATTGTTCTTCAGAATATTCAGCAAATTGTTCCTCGGACTTGTTAAAACTCAGGCCTTCACCTTTGTCATAAAAATGAGATATACTTGAACCAACATCTAAGCGAAAAGGATCAATTATCTCTGATGCTTCTGATGCTGGATATTCATCAAGCCATGTGCCTTTCTCTTGAGGTTCTGACATGCTACTGAGTGCATCCTAAAAATGATGGAAGGAGAATAAACTTTATCAAGATGTAATATGAGGGTAAAACGTATGACAAACATGTCGTGAGTACACATACCCATGGTCTTGAACCTTGAGATTCTCCAGCTGATTGCATCAAATTGTGAAGGCGAAAGTGAGCTTCATCACGTTGGTCAGTTAGCTCTCTAATCTCTTTATCCATCTGCAGAGGTAAATACACTAGCTAAGCATACCTGTATGCATAAAGCTAGATAAATATTCTAGTTACATTCAAAATTTATATGGCCCCATGTGGATTTCAAGCTAGACAAAGTGCAAGAGAACCCACCCTGTATGGTGCATTCTAAATTGTTTTGGATGGCTAAAACGAAATGAAATCATATGTTATGGATGCAAAACCAAAGATTGAAGGAAATTAATTTCTTGTCACCTTTTCAATGAGAATCTCCTTCTCTTTCAATGCAAGAGAGTCACATGAGTTGGAAAGTGATCCTAAATTCTTCAATTGACTCTCCAGTCTAGCTAATTCTCTCTGCAATTGCTTCACTAATGCCTTCTCTGACATCACTACATTGACATGTGCATTGGTGCTAACTTGCTTGGCACAACTTGCAAATAGTAGAGTGTTTCTTGATTGCTCAACATGACTGTGTGCAGGGCTCAGGGTGCAAATGATGGCTGTTCTTGCATTGCCTCCTAACGAGTTCTGAAGTATTCGTGTTAGCTTGGAGTCTCGGTATGGAATGTGTGCATTTCTACCTTTGCTGAATAGATCGATGGTCATAAATCAATGAGAAATGCATAGTCATATTGACAAATGTACATTACAGTCTTAGTTATGGCTACTAAAGCACCTTCGAAAACCTCACCTCAAGTAACAAGCTCAAAATGCTGACTGAAACCTCACAAAAACATGAGTAACATATCGTTAACATGTATCTGAGTGCATATTCTGCTCTTTATTCTGAAATTTTAGTTATTATCATTTGGTTTTCTGGTGCTCTCAGTACATAATGGCTATCATTTCAGTTTCGGACATGATAAGGAATACAACGGGAGGAAATTACCATTCACTGAAGATCAGACTAAGGAAATGACTATTACATTACATCCGATCAAAATATCTATAAGCTGATTTTCTTTGTTTTGATTTAATAAATATTTTATTATTGATTTTGTGGACTCCTGAGAAATAGGTATGAGCTATGTGGAAAGACAACTTACAGTCTTCTCCACAAGTAGTATGTACTAGAGCACTGAAATTCTCTCCTTAAATTGTTTTGGTCTTCCTTCTATTTCTTTCCCTTTCTCCTTTTGAACTTCTTCCCTTTTTTCTAGTTCTTCTAAAATTATATTTTCTTCAACCTTAGAAACAGCCATGCTATCATTATACATGGGAGAGAAGACCTTTCAATGACCAACAGTACTTGGCCCCTACCCCCAGAACAAGAAAGAGCAGGACCAACAACAGTATTTCCAGTTATTAATATCCAAATGTGAGAAAAAGTATGAGAAGGGAAAGAAAAAAAAATGAAGCTCCACCTCAACTTGCGAATAACAGTTCCAAGGGTCAGCAAACTGCGATTTATGTGGGAACCTTCTTTTAGTCTTGTACCAGCTGACAAGGTTTGAGAAGCACGTTCACTTCCAGCAAGATCTACAAAATTCTGTGATGGCAAGAGAATTTAAAGATGATGCCAAATTGTATCTCATCTATTGGCATCATGCACAGCTTAGTAGAAGGGAATAATCATTGAGCAGGGCTCATAGTGAGCATGAAATTACCAAGCATCAGCAGAATAACACTAAGGGGAAAAAAAAAAAAAAAAGTGTCCATACCACTGTAGCTGATAGAGTGCTGGAATTTTCAGTGCGTCTGAACTCTCGAGCAGAGCTATCAACTGTCTGCAAGAATACATTGTTGCAGAAGAATTAATGAATGTTTTGGGGAGCATATTATAAGTGTTAAAGTCCAATGCCATGTGATCCATTTGACGACTTAGACAAAAAAACTGTTTGAATGTCTTGGGCATCAAAATTCACGTTTTGTAAGAGGTTTACCAACTGACCTATAAAAATTGACATTTAAGTTAAAGTTTATGAATTACTATCTATCTAGGTATCTTAAGCACTGAAACTAGCTCAGGAACTAACAGACATACCAATCTCAATATCTGATGTGACCTGGAACTCATTTCATTCAGAGACGTCTCTCCAATTTTTCTTTGAGCTGCAAAAATGCAAATTCAACTTGGAATTGAGCCATGGCACTCACTTCTGGTAATCTATTTGCAATAGGAGGTGCACTCGTTTACCTGCACAGAGAGATAAGAGCTCCTTTAAATGGCTCCAATCCCTCAATGCAACCTCTGTTATTTTTTCAATCACGGTTCCCCTCTGTAGAAAAAAAAAAAGAAAATAAGATTCACTAGCACATCTACTGCCTCAAAAATTGCACAAATTTTTAATATTTTACGCATTTACATCTGGATCGTCTAGGAGTCTTAGGGGAGTAGCATCTGAGCTGAGCAGATCTCTCACGGCTTCATTGTAAATCTCCATTGCGCAGAATTTCAAGACAAATTGTCTGTTGGGATGCTGTGAAATAAAAAACATATATTGTTGTCAGAGGAGGTCCAGATGAAATAAAGAAACAGCAAAATTAGTTGCAAAAGAATTCTAGAAAGAAAAAGGAAAAGCAAGTACCTTCTGTATGTAGTCATATATATCTGCTATTGCGTACTCAGTAATCCCACACATAGTGTATGTTTTTCCACTACTTGTTTGGCCATAGGCAAATATACTTGCTGCAGAAGCATTTTACTTTAAAGAATAGTCTTATCACAGTAATGATTTGCTCTCAAAGAAGACAAGGACAGGAGTAATACTCACAGTTAATGCCACCCACAACAGAAAGCGCAACTCTTTTAGCAGACTCCTCATACACTTGCATCGTGGAGCAACCACCTGCAAATACTCTATCTATTCCCAGAGGATTGAAAAGGAAATGACAGAGTCAATATTGGAACAAAAACGAAGTAGAAACAGCAGGACAATATTGAAGTTATTTTGGTTCTCAAAATGTGTGGCCTATTGCACATTGGATCAGTCCTGATTATCAGGCTAAACTGGATATCTTCAATTAAATGGCAATGTGACTTTCTGGAACAACTAACCTCAAGATTTTCCATAGAATCAACTAATTAGGAGACAAGAAAACTTTCTGAGAGCCTTGGTTTTCTGAGTTTCATCGTAGTTACTGAAGAGGAAAGTTTACTTAAACCGCTACAGGAATGCCAAAAAGGAATTGCATCACATTTAAGGAAGAGCTACTCCATTTGCTCACCAAAATTATAGGCAGTTGGTAACGCGGAACGCTCTGGTAGGCTATTTTTGTACAGAAGTGTAGTGCTGTTGATGCATTCCCAGACAGCAGCATCTTCATTTGCAAGTTCTCTGTCATTCAAAGGCCTCAGTCTAATCGAGACAAAGATCTTCTCTTCGTGAGCATTTGACAATTGATTATCCGACTTAGCCGACTCGTCCACATTATTATTAACCATCCCCATCTTTGACTCAAAAATCAATTCCCCAGCTGCTACCGAAGATGCACTTGAAAAGGAGAATCAATGGGCAGGTAAACTAGAGAACAAAAAACCAATATGGGTTCCTCCTCCCTTCGTGAAAAGAAGAGGAACTCATCTCTAAGCTCTACGCTCGTCCTACGCCACCAAAATGGAAATACACCCCTACAAGCCTCTGATTATGTGATAAAAGGGAAAAGAATAAGAAATGATCATTCAGAAGATATGGATGAAATTGTAGTAGAAAAATAATGCGGAAAAAAAAAAGGACTGGGGTTTTACATTTTTGAGGGCTGCATGCAATCACAAAACAATAATATTTTTTGTATGGCAGTGCTATATCGCTTGTGTGAGTAACTCAGGCAACACAAGAAATCCTACCTTAATAAAGGTGGTAAAACCTTCGGGTCTTGAAGTTTGTAATGCAAATGTACGTATTCAGCACTAAAATGAGCAATACCTTCCAATCTGCCAGTAACAAGGTAAATTTAGTGACATCTTGATGTCTGATAGCAAACAGCTGCTCAAAAATGACCACCAATCTAACGCACAATAAACACATGCATTGACTGATTGAAATTGGAAAATGAAAAGTGTATAAACAGAAAATGCTGAACGAGCACTACAATTTTCACAGCAATAATGAATGCCCGGATAAGATTAGCTCACCATTATTAGCATTGTTTCGAATCAAGAATGGTGAATGCAACTCAAAATGATCCAAAAAGAAGAAACAAAGAAACTCCCAGAGTACCTACCCAGAAAAGAAACTCCCACGTTCAGGGAGAGAGACTGGTCGGGAAGAGGGAATTGGCAGTTGTACATTATTAGGGAACAACGGATGAGCTAAAATGACGGTTGAAACGGAGAATTTGAGAACCCGGAGAGAATTCCGGACAAATCCAGACAACATTTCCAATTCCAAGGGGGCTTTAACTTTTGATGAGATCATGCCATGCGAGGATCAGAGAATCTGCGAAGTGCAAACCAATATCAACACTTTGAGCGGAGTCAAAAGCATTTGGACCGCCGAAATTCATCGCCAACTATGACGGATATATTTTTTGTTTCAATATTTCAATAGAAGAAAAAGGAACGCGGGGGAATTTAATGGAGTACCAACTTTGAGTCTTGGACCTCATCTTTCCTTATACTAAGATATCAAAACTCACCATGAATTTTCTTCGACGGAAAATTATATTCGCACTCCTGAATCGGTCACCCTTGCTTTATTTTTGTCATGACATTTTTATCCAAGTAAGTTATTTATCACTTGACGTTTCCAAGTGATCGAGTGAGTTAATTGAAATAGTATAACAACTTTGAAGATATATATTAAGCTCCCTCCAACAGAAACAAAAAAAAAAAAAAAAAAAGGAGAGAGAGAGAGAGAAGATATATTGAGCCGAACCATTCGGAGTCATTTCTCTCACTATTACACGGTATGAAGAACCACATTATTATTGTCAAACCAAGAAAACTAAAGAGATTGATGACAGCAGGCGTTGGGAGAGTTAAATTGAGACATGCATGCAGGAGACCGAAACAATGAACTTCTGAAAGATGTGTGTTGCATTATGCCATATTTTTTATGTTTGACTATGCTTTGGGCTAATTGCATTATGCTTTTTTTCCTTTTGCTCTTGTATTTCTAATGAAATCCCTTCTATAAATTTTCTAATAAGAGTTTTCTCCTCTTTTAAAAATTCTCTTATCTTTTTAGTGGTTTTTGTCGCCTTTACAATTTCTCAAGGTTCTTAGTGTGTAGTTGTGAGAAATAGTCATCCATATAATTGTTGTTGTTAGTGTTATTGTTGTTATTATTAATAATATTAATGGAAATCATAGGTAAATGGCTCTATCTAACACGTTCCTTTTTTTTTTTTTTTATCGTAATGATAGGATTCTTATAACCTAATCTAGCTTAACCAAGGGAGATGTGGAAGGGAGACTCGATGTGAGTACAGACTCCATCGAAGAAGGCCAATTAAGACCGCCACGTATAATGACAAATTGGTGAGAGCCAAGGGTTGAACCTTGACTTTTCACACCACCAAAAACCACCGGGCCAAAGGTCCAGCGGCGACACATTCCATTTTCTCGAGCCAAAGATATACATTCCTGCAGTGGTCCGGCCAAAATTCTTTGTAAGCATGACTTTGCCCTACGTGGTTCATTTTATTATTAGCAAGATGGAATTCTTTAATGGTAATTCAAGTAGGAAATAGGAATAGCTCCTGCAATTTTGCCAAATAACGATTTGTCAGGCCCACATAAACATAACCGGCCAAATTAATAAAATTTGGAAGAGGAATATCCAATACGAATGTGTGTGTCCCGGGCTCAAGGTTTAAGCATCCAAGAGAGTACGAATTGGAGGAGAGGACTCCAGCAGTCCAATCTCAAAACCCTTCCCAAACCCCTAGCGGCGAGATTATAACTCGGGTGCCTGCTGCCGGTTGTGAGACCAGCCCCTGATCCCAAGCTGCAATCCAAGAGCTACCTTCCACATGTACAAGTTGAAAAATTTTGTGACCTATATATATATATATATATATATATATAACAAAAGGACTCATGAACCAATGTATGTCGGTTAGTGGGTAAGGTCGGATTATTCTTTTAATAAAAGTCATGTGTTTGAATTGTAGCTTCGATTCAACGTACTCTCTAGTCCTTATTGATGATCAGAATCGAATTCGCACAAACTTTTTTATTTAAAAAAAAAAAAAAAAAACTCATGCAAACAAAGAAATTAAATCCCAAGGCTAAAGTAGACGTGCATGTGCGCGCGTATATATATATATATATATATATATATATATATATATATATATATATATATATGAAGGTAGTTATTTTAATCACAGTATTTCTCCCTCTTACGTAGCATGTCTAATTGAAGAGAATTAATGGATTGTGGGTTATTTGGGTTTTACCCGTACTGAATCCTATTTGGATTATA